AAGAACTCCACTACACCCAAAGATGTGATTCCTACTTCCATGAGTTCTTTGATCGCATTCATCCCGATCAGAACGTTGAAACTATGGAAGTGGACCGAAAATCAGGCAGCAACGAGCGATAGTAGACTATCCATTGCCCGATCTAGCGCGTAAGATAGGAGTTAAGAACATGGTTGGATAACGGCTGGCTCATACCCTATTCGGAGGAGAAACTCCGACCTCCCAAGGGTCTAGTTTCATTGTTGGCTGTTATCCAAGTGAACAAAGAAAAGGTACGCCCTGCAATAGATTATAGAGTGTTAAATGATTAAGCAGAAGCGCTCTCAACGTGCGGACGTGTTAAAACCAAGCAAGACAAACACAAGCTATTTTCGTTTTGATGACGGACGATGGCAGACCAGATTCTCTGTTACAGTTTAAGACTCAAAATTCTTTACACAGGATACCCTAAGTTATATTAGACTGAATTAAAACCTTGTTTCCTAAAATTACTGTAAATAATACTTGTGTGTTCAATCATCAGCATTCAATCATCAGTGGAAACAGGTTGAGCAATAATTGAGCAGTAGAAAATAAGAATTATGTGAGATATCCATAGATATTTTCAACGAATCGAGAAAAATCTACCCCCATATATTAAATAAAAGATGCAGTTCGAAATTCACTGAAGTTACAAAACACATGATGTATTTCGGCGGAAACAATGATAGTAATGTTGTGACACCCGCAACAAACATGAAAACAACTCTCTGAGTTTAAATAATGCTAATTCCTCATCCTAGAAATTCAGACGTATGACGATGTACCACATCTTGCAGCGAAGCGTCTGATCAGGAGGTTTTGATGAGCATGGGCCCACTTCTTAATTGCCGTTGTTCACAAGTCCACTCTGAACCAGTGTGGTATTACCTGTTAGGGCCCCAGCTATGGGCAAATTGTTAGCACCCAAACTGGGGTCAAAGCGCTATGGAATTGTAAAAACAGGTTTTTATAAAAAATATATATTTGGAAAAACATTACCAGCAATACATTTTTGAAAAATTATTACCAGCAATACTGTTATCCTGATCTTCATTGCCATATTTACAACGTTTTGGCCGATGTACGTTGCAGATTTCTTCAGGTGATTGGAATTTCGAACCGAACCCTTTATTTCGTCAAAATAGGTTGAGTGTTCTACTTCCACGTGTCATGCCTCTTCCCTTCCTCTTATTTCCCTTTAACTCAATTCTCCAAGTTTTCGTTCACCACTGCTGTGGCCGTGTATTAAACTTTCAACTCTTTGCGTCTCATCACTGTATCTAACCAATGACTTTATCCGCTGAGCCATGTCTACTCGAGGACACATGACCTAGTGGATAAAGAGGCATGGCACGTTGAACGAGAACAATCTACCTGGCTGGACGAAATAAAGGGTTCGTTTTGAAATTCCAATCACCTGAAGTAGGCCGGAGCGTACAAGGTCGAAACTTAATCCTAATATCTCATCTCAGAGATATAGAGGCCGAAACGTTATGAATATGACAATGAAGATGAGGATAAAAGTTCGAATAATGTAAATCATGCAAGTAATCTTAATACCGAACAACAGACAGAATAATGTAAATAATGTAAGTAATCTTAATACTGAATAACAGTCCGAATAATGTAAATAATGCAAGTAATAATAATGCCTCATTTCAGAGATATAGAGGCCGAACGTTATGAATATGACAATGAAGCCGAACTGTCCGAATAATGTAAATAATGTAAGAGATATAGACAAATAATTTTTTGGAGAAAACATTTGCTGTAAAATTTTACTCTCAGCAAAAACCCTCTTGCGCCAATCAAACCTGAATTAAAAAAACTGAATAGAAAGAATACCTATTCTTTTCATACGAACCTATCCTAATAGTCTTGTCGTAATTTAATATCTCATTGTACTTGATATGTTGTAAAATAAAATAAACAATACCGAACTAGAAATTTAAACAGAAATAATGAATTACACATTGGAATTTTATATTTAAATAGTTATGCGATAATAACAAATAGTATGATCCTAAATAGTAGTAGTAGTAGTAGTAGTATAGATGTTTGAAAGCAATGATAGAACATACACTGAATCCATCATAAAAATTAAAGATGTGAAATTATTAAATTCTAAACGCTTCAAGTACCTCGGCGGAAGGAACACTGTTGTCGTAGGATCCACCTAATTTGCATAGTGGAGTACCGACCATATAAATATGGTTGGTACCGGGAAGACGAGGAGAGGAATCAAGAGATTCAATCCAGAGATTCTGCCCGACTGCGACTCAGTCAACACATTCTCCAGGAACGGTCTTTCCAAGAATATACAAAAGACTATATGTAAATATTGTGTACACTTTCTTGTTTCAATACATTTTGTTCTAAGTACATTTTGTGTTGTATTATTATTCCATGCATTAGTCAAGTTTCAACAAACACTTATAACAAATATATTATGTGAGAAAAGAAAATTGAAACGAACATAGATTAGGCTCTTGGTAGGTTTCGCCAAACAGCAAATTTCTACAAAACAAAAATATTAACCTGTATATTCGAGTCATGTTCTTAAATAGCCACATGATATGGAGGCTTTCATATGGATGTCATACATAGTGTCAACGCTGTTCAGAAATATTTGAACTATTGGCTAAATACAACCGTTTTCTCAGATCAATGGTTAAAAATGGTTTTGATGTTTTTGAATGGCGAGTGAAGCATTTGGACCTTGTCGGAGACCATCTTTCTTCAAATCGTGTGGGCTGGTTCTACAGAATCACAATCAAAGAACTGTACCAATTAACATACACCACATCACTTGAGGACTGCTGATCGCAGTAACAACTAAAATATCTACTATATTTAAATGGAAGAGAAAATATTGATATAATAAAGATGTCGATATTCCAACAATTTCAAATAAAAGGTTAAGAAGGAAACTCCGATCAATACTGGAAAGAGCTATAACAGCTACAGGGTCTCAGAAACCTATCTCTCTAAAAAATTATTTTATAAGTTTTTATGAATTTCAGCCGACAGGGGTACTGGCGGTTCGCCAATAAATACCGGACGTTTTCTTATGAGGAAATGACTATTATTACAAACACTATTAGAGATGAGAAGAGATACTCCACTTTGATACTAGTGAGATGGACAGGGAAAGCGTAACTCGACTAGCACTGGCTGCTCGGTAAAATAATGCTGAAAGTTTCCTTATGAGAAAACGCTTAATATTACCATTACCAATATAAGAGTAAAACTATCGGTGACTATTTATTATGCAACAGTAACTTGTCCTGGTTCTAGAAACGCCTCCAAAATTATACTTCACTCTATTAATCATGTGAGAAACCTATCTAAGCCTTCCATTAGAATGTCTAATGCTAACCTCCAGAAGGGTGACTTGTTGCGCCTACTCGGGCAAACATTCACTGCTGTCGATAGATTATATTGAATCCACTGTTAGGTCTACTGCTAAGAAAGGTTATCAATATGCCGTGGTAGATAATTTTTCTCCAGAATCTAACTTGTATATCTATAAGTTTACCATTCGTCCCACTTTTAATATTGTTTCAACATCTGATATATTTAGAGATTCTTGAAAAAAACTCCATTGAAGAATCGGCAATATTATTGGTTTTGACTTGGCATCACGGCTTTAGTTACTTTCCCATCGCCGTAATATAGTTTATTATGTCTTTTCTAGCAAATATTGAGGAACTCTCCGTTATAATACCTAGACTTTATGAATTTAAACATATTACTAGATTAGCAACAAAGCTTCGGAAATTTGTTGTTGAATTGGTTGAGGTAACTGTATTTTCTATACTAATAGTTTCTTTTTTCAGGTTTGTGGAACTTTCTTCTGGCTCCATGATTTCCAGCCAACTGTGATCTTCAAAAATTAAATTAAAAAAAAAATGCAAAGTCAATTTTTACCTGTTATATTATTGATTACTTTTCTTTTATTGTACTCTTTTCTTAATAATGTTTCTCTTTTTTTATTATTCTTTCACACTCAGTAACCCTAGTGGCTTCACTGGCGTGAACTGATGAAAACAAATTAGCCGCAGGCGTGTAAGCTGACCAGTTAATATGTGGCCATGGTAGAGAAATCGGCAAGTCTATATTATTTCGCTACACGTCTTCACAGATAAAGGAATGATAAAGAATAGGCAATTTATTGACTGGCTTCATCTCTTGTCAGACCGACAATTAATTGACAAAGAGGGGTCGATCAGACGTGCCTTTTGTTTGTGCTTCCTCGGGACGGGCTCATTGTGATTCTGGTTTTGTCTATAAACAGAGAAGAGCACACTAACCACATTCATCATTACTTTTCTCGTCTTTATTACCAAAACGACCAGTCAGCTCTGTATTAAACAGCGAATCTACTTCTCTGTTCAGATGACACCACGCACACCAACAACCAACGGTCACTGATAAGAAAAGTCTACGCCATTAATAGGCCAGGTTTTGGCATTTGCTCGGCTATCTTTGAGTAATCAATAACAAGTCGAAGTATCATAGTTGAGAACTTGAACGTTCGATTAATGCTTTTCTATTGCCAATGGAACTAGAAAGTCATTTCTTGTCAGTTTAACGAAAAAGTTTTCAACAAATTGTTATTTACGAGGTAAAACTATTACCTTTTCTATTATAGTTTAACTGAAGGACGATAAATTTGATATTATTTGAGCACAGCTGAGAGACCGATGAAAAATATTTTATTTTGTCACTGGAAAACTCTTTTATAACATCCCTGCGTTGTATATTATCTTTAAGAATATATTCATATGGTTCGACATATTGTACTCGGAATGTAATTAAATATTTATATTTTTCTTTAGTAATGTTTTTCCATACATGGCTCAATATACGGTCAAGATAGAGGATTACTATTAATTGGTTGATTTGTATTTTTAAGGCTTACCAACCATTTTTTGGTTATCTGAAAACAAAATATTTTTCGGATTATGAGATTTTGCTTACAGTATCTGCTGTTCACGAGCGGTCTCTCAGCTAGGTACTGAGCTAACTCGACGCTGCTTAACTTTGGTAATCGAACGTGAAACGGTGTTTTCTGTGTGGTATCAACCCAGGCAGAGTCTTAATTAATCGAGTGTGTGGCGTGGACATAAAAAAAGAGTTGTGAAAATTACAAGATGGCAGGTAAGTAACTATTGAAACTAAAAGTGAAGATAAGGGTAGGAAAAACTTGAAGGACTGGTAGATTTGAAGATTGTACTGATCAACGAAGCAGCCATGCGGAACTGTTTTCTACAAAGTACCAATTCTTAGGAAGACGCTCTGTGAGCTGAACTTCGTTCTTATTAATAGACTATGAAGAGAATGGCGGTGACTAGAACCTGCCGACGAACGTGTGAAACTAAAGAATGAAGCTGGTCAGAACTGTAACATTATATTAAGAAAGAGTGCTGAATAATTATTTACACTATTTGTATATTAATTATTGTTCTCACATTTACTGTTGTTATCCCAAAATTTCGCCCGTCGTGCGCCTTGGCCTCTTTCGGATATATATTGATCAGGGTAACCTAAAGGGAATTTAGAACTAAACCCTCTCTATCCACTTGTATATATATATATATATATATATATATATATATATATATATATATATATATATATATATATATATATATATATATATATATATATATATATATATATATATATATATATATATATATATATATATATATATTATTTTTAGTACTTGTTTTTACGCGTTTATTACTCTAGTTTTCTGACCTAGTGGATCAAAGCATTGGTTCTTGAGTTCAATCCTTAGGTCAGGGAGTCTATGATTGGACTCATTAGAAAAATGTTCTTAATATCTCAGCTATATTAAAAATAAGAACACGATGCTATACGTAGACGTGGACTGTAAAACAAGACATGTCTACCCAATAGCTTAAATTACTGTTTCAGTTCAGAATTCCGTGGAAGGACACAACGGCCGATAATAATAACAACGATAAGGACAATAGTCCAAATATAAATAGTATAAATAATGATAACTGATCATTCCAGAAATTCAGACATAGAGAGAGAGAGAGAGAGAGAGAGAGAGGGTGGGGGAGAAGGCGGAGAATAAATTAAGGATAAGAAAAAAAAAACCAAATAAGCAAAAAGCAAAAAAACAGTCACACAGATATTTGAAAATATATCGTATTTCTGAAATACAATATATTTGCTAGGGTCAGTGACGGTCACAAGTCCGGCCGAACAGGAAAAAAGACGCAGAATGTGGAGGTAATTTTTATTGGAGCGTGAATTGCTGAATCATTCACTAGAGAGAAGGTGAGATATCCCGGTATAAAAATGGAGTTTCTCAATCCGAAAAGTTCACAGTGGGCTCTGGAAAAAAATGGCTAGATCGGGAAGGTCTTTCAATGACTGAACTCTCCCCGACACTGAGATCATTTCCCAGCTACAGACAATAAAATTGATCAATACAGACCTCAATCTTCTGTACCATGTATTCCGCCAAACACTAGGTCGAGCCACAAATAATGTCGCACATGAATATCTATCAAGTAAATATACTAAGAGTAAGCATAGGCTGGCGAGGTTGAACCTGTGGAAAAGACATTGTAGGGTGGAAATGAATTCCTTTCACACAGGTTGCATAAAAGATTTTGAAAACCGTCATGGCTAGAAAATGAGGATTAGGTAACTCCAGGATTTGGTAGCACAGATATGGCACTAATATTTCATTTTTTGGTTTAATCTAATTCTTTTAAAGAGGAAATCAATGGCATACAGTAACGTCTTTGGAGTTGCATCTATGTCATCATCTTAGCAGATGTTTCGTTTTCTTTGAAGTCTGCAGAATCATCACAACTTTATTTCATATGACGGAAGGAATACTTATGGCCAGTGATGTTTTACACTGCTACAGAAAAATAATAGTACTGATGCCATCATTAGCGATTTCCTTATAAGGAAACATCCAGTATTCAGGATCCATTGAACGTGCAACTACTGATAATTGAGTTACGCATTTCTTCACGCCCTGGAAACTGCGTTGCGATCAAAGTGTTGTAGCTGTGTCCAGGCCAGCTATATGTTGTCTCTCAACTGTGTTTCTGTTTTCGGAGAGAGCGAACCTCAATGACGTCTTTGTCTTCGGACAGCGTGAAACTAAATAAAAAAAATTGAGAGGCTTCTGGTTCAGGGGGACAACTGTGCGCGGCAATTCTTTTCTTATTGTTCTAAAGTGTGGCGATCATTAGTAACTTTTGTTCCTGGCCCGGGTGCACGCTCTCGGGCCCCTCACATTAAACTGACCTAGTGTCGCATATTATCAGCGTAGAGTAGATCCAATACGCCTTCGAACAGATGAACTACATTTTATCTTTCAATTGTGTTTCGGTTTTAGGACAAATGCAGGAGGCCTTGTCCCAGGCATTCTAACTAAGCAGCAGCAACTTTCTCATTGCACCAAAGTGGGAGGGTCTGCGGTATATTGTATAAGTTATTTACGATCACTGGAAAATTTTAGGGCGCAAACTTTTAGGGATTTATGTAAAAATGTTATTGATTCACTCTGGGTACTCTCTACATTTTGTTCCCATTTTAAACTATATATACATTTTTTTTTAGTTGATCCGATAAAATTTGACCAAAAGTTTAATTTAGTTAAATTTTACAAATTATAAAAGTCAGAAGCATATAATATTAGACATCGATTTCATTAGGAGTTTTATACACGAATAATTACCGTATCAACCACGACATATACCTGGAGTGAACGGGAAGGAATGGTTTTGGCAGTCGTCTTCTAGAAACGTTAAAATAATGTTTGATTTGGCAACACTTTTTTGAATATATTCGTCAGCTGGGGTGGATAGATAATCCTTACTGACCGCATCTATTCAAGCTCATTCTGTTTTCTTCAACAGCCAAAGAGCCATATTTTGTTTTATGCAGCAATTATACTGAGCAGAGCTTACAGTTAGAGGAGCGAACGTATAATCTAATGTAATCAGTCCTATTCGATTACACCTTCGACCACGTTGACTTCGTACTAGAGCTACTTTCGATTTCCTAACTGTTTCAACTACCTAATTACATATGGGAGGGTTTGGTCAATTGGTGGTATGATTTTTTTCGGGCAATTTCCGACTGGTATTCGTAATTTAGCTCAAATAATTCCCTACGAGACGAATTGATGATGGTGTGATTCGAAACCGGGTCGAGTGCTCCGAAAATTATGTTTCTAGCCACTCGACACGAATCCCTTTTGTTATTAAAATAAACGAATTAAAATGGATTCTCTCTCTAAAATAAAGTGTATAAAATAAATATTTTCTGTTTATAGTTGTTCTGGACTATATTCTGCGTATTTCTTTTGACAACACGGCGGAAAAAAAAGACTCTTTTTGAAACCTTGCCAGAGTATTCGATATCCCCCACAATATCTGACTGATCTTGACTTTGCTGATGATCGTGCATTACTTTCTCAATGTATTAAGGATGCAGAATCTTAGCTACACTCGAGTAATCAGTGAACCAGGCAGGTCTCTATTGCAACATGAGCAAGACAGAATATGTCACAACCATCAGTCTTGAAGTCACTTAATACATACATCAAAATAGTTGACGACTCCAAATACGTCACGTGATACAGGCATGGGCGATCAATTATCGTTTGATACATGACTAACATTTCTTTCTACGGTAGACTGGTTGCCATCCAATAATCCAGTCTGTCCTCTGTTCTACATAGCTGGGAGGAGAAAAGATGGATTCGTACCTTTCCTAAGGGTGTTTATGCGTAAGCGAATCTAATGAACTCGGCTGGGATTCGAACTCGTATCTCCGAGTTCTCATTCCGAGATGATATCCAGTTCACCACAGCACACATCTCTCTCATATAAAAGATTCCGAAAAAGACTTCAATGCCCGTAAAGCTGTTGCATGCGATGTGCGTAAAAAACTTCACAAGATTTGGCGTTCGAACTTTCCATATTGGATCAGTCCTACTTTATGGATAAGAAACCTGAAAGACGACTGGATGGAACATATAAAAATCTACTGAGAAAAATTGAGAACATAAGTCGGAGATTGCATGCAACACATAAAATTTACCGAGAACTAAGACCAATCTCTCTTAATCCCAAAGAAAAACGATTACAGTTTGCCGGGCACTGCCAGCGAGCGGATAGGGACATTCTTTCATCTTTCCTCCTATGCTATACTCCTGGAAGTTTTTTCTCATGAAAATTGACTTTGCCAGACAAGATAGCTCGGGAGTCAAGGTTGGCCAGTGGCGATCTGGAGACAGCAATACATACTAAAACAGTGTGGAAAGGGATTGTCGAAGGATGACGATGATGACAATGAAGAGGATCGCAGACAATACCATAAGGGAAGCAATTCTTCGATTTAAAGAAACTCTAAATTTATTAGTTAACAAAGTGATAGAAATGAAATAATGCCAAAAAGAGTCAAAGAGCGAGTAAAAGACTCGTTCTGAAAAATGAAAATTTTGCTTGAAATAGAACTAAAAGTGATAAGAGTAATGAAAAGGCCAAACCGAACGCTGGCCTTTTCCGAATAAAAAAGATAAAAAAAAATTGTGTTAATCAAAGCAAAAAGGACAGAATTTTATGTTGAATTGCGTTTGCAATGAAGCGTAGCAACAATGTCCGACGGAAGTATTTCTTCTCTTCCCATCGCAATCAGACACGTTTGGCAATGGCATCAGTCACCTGGCACGAAGCCAATGTCAGCCTAGAAATTATTTTAACTCTGCTCAGTCGGACACAAATATATACTCATGGATGATATATTCGCAAATCGGGCGACAGTGTGTATGTACATATAACAATTTGGCAAATGTTTAAAAGTGTCAAACTCGATTTTGAAATATTGTAGCAAAATGTAACAAGTCTTCAATAATATTACTTTCTTTAATGGTGTAATCGTTTTTGATGGAGAGATTTAATATTACTGTTCTCGTGACCACAGCTATTGAGATACCTACAGAAATGAAACGTTTGGGAAATGTTTGTCTTTCTGTAAAGTTATGTAATGCTTTAAATGTCGTTGAAGTTTAACAGGAAAAATA